GAGCCAGTCCCAGCTGGAGAGGCTTGCAGATTGAGGATAAGAGGAAAACCAAATCCCTGGTGGCATTGCCTTAGCTGTGGCCGAACACTGCCTGGCACCTGTCTCGGCAGGCGTTTTGCCATTTAAAAGTTATTTTGCTATTTAGGAGCTTCTGAAAATCCAGTGGCTTGCTCTCAAGAGTTGTGCTTGGAGAGTGTGGTGTCGCTGTGTGGGGTGGCTGCATGCTTGTGCTTGCAGTTGAAGTAGGAAACTTCCCAGGAAGTTAAGGCTGTATTTATCTTACCTGTTGTCTCTCATCGAGACTACAGCGTGAGACAGATGAATCCCAGTGACCTGTTTTGGTCCTTGTGGCTTCTCAGAGTTTAATTTTCCAATTATAAGAGATGCTGAATTTAATTGTTTTATGTTTAAAAAAAAACAAAACAATAAACCCAAACCCAACACAACACGTAATTCAGCTGGAAATGAATAACCAGGCTGAAAGAGGAAGATGGGGCTTCCTTGGGAGACTGAGGAGGTGGTCTCTTCATCTGTTTTTCAGACAACATGGAAAAGGTACAAAAACTGTCAATAACCGAAGAAGAGACTGAGCCCATTTGTTGTGCTGTGCGAAGAAGTGACATCCAGGCACTGGCAATTAAGGAGGAGGACCTGGAGAAAGTACGTATTTCTACTGGTAGAAACAGCTACCTTAACTGTCACTCTCCTTTCATTTTGTGTGTTTAACAGAAGGTGCTGTCCATTTACTTAAGCCAAAACCCACTCTTGGAGTCCAATTCTTACTCCATTTTGTCTGTCCTTTTTATGACTTGTCAGATCATCGGGTTCAGTTGCTAAAAGTAAAGGATTATCAATCCTTACATAATCTTTTTGAAAGGAAGGATAAGTTATCTGCCTCTTCAATTTTTTTTGAAGCTCCATGCTCTACACCCTCCCCATGATCCTGGGAGCATTCCAGTTACAACGAAATACCTCGTTCGAAAATCTCAACCGAAAGAGACAAAGAAAGTGTCACATGTTCTCGTGGCATGTTCTGCTTCCCCAAGGACACCCAGGGAACCACTGACTTTTTCAGGTAGGGTTAAACTTCACATCTTCTCTTTGGGTTTTGTCTTTGCTAAGCCTAGCTTTAGTGACCTGGCTCTGGGTTTGTGTGTGTTGTAGGGTCAAGACCATTTGGTGATGGGTGTGCAAAGATTCTCCCCCATCACATTTTGGGAAGTCCACAGGAGTTCAAGATGGAAGCCTTGGCCAGAGGAAACACTCAGGTTTGTTTGTAAAGTTACTAAAATGCTGCTGTGTGCAACTTTTCTAGAGGTGGAGTGCGGTGCCAACAGCACCTTTTGATGTTTTTCAGCACCTATCAGGAACAGGTCAGGCCTGAGGTGTGTTTTTTCCCAGCCTCGTCATACTCTGGAGGAGGGCTTGCTTTCAGAGAAACCGCACCAGCAGGTTTAGAAGTCCTGTGTGCAGGAGGAGGTCATGGAGGGAAGAATTACCAAGGCTTCTCCTTCCATATGTGCTTCTGCTGATGGCATCAGGTGTGCAAGGGATGCGCTGGTGTTGCAGCAACGCCATTGCTTGAGTCTAACTACTCAGACAAATCCTTCCATTGTTTCTGAGCATGTTTGTAATGCCCCGTTCTTGTTCTTCTCAGAGTGATGAGGTAAAAATACTATCAATAGGAAGAATTCTCCTCCCCTCTCCCATTTTCACTGTGGTGGCAGCGTGTGCATGAAGAGGTTAATTTAACATTTCCTTTCTCTTCAGTTAGCAGACCTTATTGAGGTTCCTCATCAGTATGTTACTGCACCAGCTTTGAAAGAGGAACGTGGAGGAGAGAAGAAGAAAAAGGTTCATAAGACCCCATCAGCACAGCAAAAAGCTCTCCAGAACTGGCACTGTAATATGACAGTCAGGAAAAAGCAGGAGAAGCATCTAGGAGGTGAGAAAAGCTGAGGCCTCATTCTGTGAAATTCTGTGTGCAGGTGGAGGAGTTTGATGGCACCACAGCAAGCTTGATCATAGCCAACCAGGGTTAATCCTGGTGCCATTGCAGTCTACTTTCATGTTCTCAGAGCTCCTCACACTGCTAGTGGCCATGGACTTTTTGAGGAGGTGACCTGATGGCTCTGGCTGAGGGAAGGACAGTGGATTTGGTGGAGGACAGTGTAAGGGGATTACTTGTGAACAATAGTAGTGATAAAGGGTGTGCCCAGAAGTGCAGCACCAATTATTTGACATTTCTTCTTCATAGAAATTCTTCAGAGGCCAGAGGATGAATTACTGATGAACTACTCGGAGGATTACAGGCAAATCCAGGAAGAACATGACCTCATTTACCGAAGTCTCCCTACCCTGCTTCCTGGAAAGGTGAGAGCTCTGCTTCCTCTGCATCCGGATTGCTCTGCTCATGTGAAAGAGCTAAGCTATTGGTAACATCTCTGATGACTTGTCATTAGATACTTATCAAAGCCACTCTTAAGTCCTTTAGCATAGGACCTACACCTGCCAAATACTGGTGTAGGACTTTGATGTAGATGGAAGACACACATCTGAAATAATCTCCTGGAGGCACGTAGCTCTTCTTCTTAAAACACTTTTCTTTCTGAAACCTGGCTCTGGGCATGAGAAACATGTGTGAAGGAGATTTTCCCTATCCACGCATCATTTGCAGTGGAGAATGCAATCATCTAGGATTCTTGGGAGACCCAGAGTTGGTTCCTTCCTGTGTCTCTTAAACACTCAATGGATACCTCTGAAAACCATCATAGGAGCAAGATATCTCTACTTCACTTTATTTGACTCGGGACATTTGTCTGGTGTTTTAACTTCCTTTCTATATAAAACGAGAAAGCACAACTTGGTCATTTTTCTATATGTCTAGGATCTGGATGGACTGGAGGTGATTGGTAAAGGGCAGCCTTTCAGATCTGTCACAGCAGAGCCTTTTCCACGTTCCACCACTTCTGAAGAGTCTGAGACCCTGTAAGTTTTACTTCATGGCAGAAATTAAGAATTTTGGGTTTGCACCACCAGTCTGTAAGGGTATCCTTAGCTGTTCTTATCCAGAACAGAGAGGACTCTCCACTGGGGCACAATAAAAGACATATTCTAATCTTATAATCATCAGATTTAGGAATTGAGCAGTTCCTTTGTGCTTGGGGCCCTTGTGCCTAAGGAGCAAGAATCAGAGAAAAAATTTTTTGAGGCCTGCCCTCCAGTCTTCCTTCTGTGTGGCTTCGGAGTTTACATTAGGCAGGGTGGGGATTCTGCCCTAAATTACCTCCATCTGGTTGTCTTTTTCCAGCCTTCACTTCCATCATTAATTTGCTTCTTTTGCTTGTCCTGTCCATCTGTAACGGTGCAACCTGAGGGCCTTTTCTCCTTATGCAGTCATGTACCCTCGGCCTTCCTTAAGCAGATATAATTCTTTAATATTCTGTCTGTCCTGTTCTCCTTGATGGTGACAAGTAGCTAATTTGAGTTTACCACATCTGCAGGGCTCTGTCTCTAAAGACTTGATGTGGAAAAGCATTAGTTGAGATTATTTCTTATAGGGCCTTCTAAATCACCTCTGATTCTCTGCTTTCTGAAAGTGAATTTCACTTCATGAAAACTCTTGTTTTCTTTAGCAGTGACTCCTTAGGGAAGGATGTGGTTCCTGTGGTTCCAGAAGAAGTACAAGGTCCGTCGTTAGTTTTCTGTGGCCAGCCTGCTCGTTGGATCAATGACGCCACTTCTTGCAGGGTAATCTTGTGGTTTTTATTGTTTAGTTAAGCTAAGCCTGCTTGAGTTTCCAAATCACAGCTGTGTGAATGTTACTCCCGGGCCAGAGAATGGAGGATTTATTCTGAGCATAAAGGACTATCCCTACATTTGCTCCAGAGAGATCTAGAAACAGAAGGGGTTGCTCTCTCTGTGGTGTGAAGCTCAGATTCCCAGGCTCTCTCTGTATAATGGCTGCTTCACGGGACCAGCCTTACAAGTTCTCCTACCAAGACCCAACCCCTTGTTTGTGATATGACTTCAGAAAAGATAAATCCTGCAAGATAGAGTAGAAAGAGTTATCTCTGTCTTTTTCCTCTTCCTTGTAGGGTGAAATTGGCATTGCTGCCCGGATCACCTTTGAGACTTTGGCTGGTGAGAAAGCTAAAAGCTCCCTCACTGTGAGCAATAATGGCACAACTGCCATCTACTATAACTGGGTGAGGCTTCCCCACCAGATTCCCTCCAGAGAAACCAAGGGGTTGAGGATGCTGGTTTTTTACTTTGATACAAGACCAGGTACGAGAGCTGCTGATCTCTGACATCTTCGTACATACAGCAGAGAGCACGTATTCAAGAGTTATCTGAGATGTGGAGTCTGACTAATGGCAGAGCAAGCCGGTTGGGTGATTCTCCTTAGGAAGCCACCCAGGGCATCAGAGCTGACTCACACCAGAAGAGGTGTGCAAGGCAAATCCCTTTCATGGGACTCAAAGGAAAGGAGGTTGCTCCTACTCTAAATGTAAATGGGTGGAATATTATGAAGTGAATCATTTTCCAATGGCAAACTGGGCGTAATCTGCCAGAGAGAGTACAGAGCTTGCTGTAAAAGGAGTGTGCAGTAGAAATAACACCAGTTCAGTAACATGGTGACTGGGAGTAAATCTGGAAAGAGATAAAGTGTGATAACCAGCTCAGTTATGGAGAAGGAGTCTTGTACAGGGATAAGGATATTTGGGCTGGGGCTGGAAAAGGGTCAAGTTAACCAGGTGGTTTCTCTCAGACTGATGCATTTTCTCTCTTATTCCAGGTGTAATTTTGCCTAGAGAAACTAGGGAGTTTTCCTTTCTTTTCAAGTCAGAGAAAGCAGGCATTTTCAGCGAGTCCTGGGCATTTAGGACACATCCTGAATTATTAGGAGGAGCTTTGCTGCAGGTGACCCTTTGGGCAGTTGCTGTGTATGAGGATAAATGGGTTGACCTCAGAGAGAAGCTGGAGGTAACCAACCATGTAACTGGGGAGCTGTGAGCTTTGAACTTAATATGCAAGTAGAGAATAAGGGTGGGAGTGGATGGCATGGTATTTTTACTGCTATGCAATTAAGGTGGAGAGATGATTGTTTATTTACAGAACATCTGTACATACTTGAGCAGGTGTGCTTCATAAAATGAAAGAACTATGCAGCCTATTGTAATCTTCCTAATAAAGACATGGTTGTGTCTCCTAAACTGTTCACATTGGTCCTTTGGAGAATGAATTTTCTGTTGATGATGAATTTCATTAGTTAATGGGGATAGGATTGTGTCGTACACTGTGATATCAGTTAACGTATAAAGTGAAAATTACACTGTGCTTTGAAAAGTATACTTTGGGGGAGGATTTGTAGGGTTTATTTGAAAAGTTGTTCTAAGTATTGCTCTGCTTAGTGGGGTTTGCAGTTATTCTTGTCCTTGTAACTGTACATAATGTATACATTTGTTTACTAGTGTGGGTGTGATTTTGTTTGTGTGTCTGTATTTGAAATGAGGTCTTAACACATGTTGTGCTTGTTGTGGTGCCTCAGAGTGACCTGGCTGCTCGAGAAAAAGCTACTATAGTAGAAGAGTGTGTGAAAGAACTTCTTGTCCGAATTCGGACCCCAGAGCGCACCCCATCTCCTGTGGATGCCTATGTCACAGAGGAAGAGTTGTTCCACCGGAAGAATCCTGAGGTGATGTTTGCTATTTGATGGGCTGCACAACTGAAATAGCACAATCTGCCACGGCGGCTTTAACAATTAGGTTTGTAGAGGAAAGGCACAGCTCATTTTACTATTTACCTTTTCCCCGTTACCACAGCTGCATTATCAGCATCGAGTGGTACAACAGGTGCATGAACTGTGGAGACAGCACATAGCTGTTCCTTCAGCCTTTGAGGACGAAGTGCCCTCAGGCCGGAAGAGCACTGCAGAGGATGTGCAGTATCGGGGGAGTGCCTCAGAGGCTCCCCCCTCTCAGAGCAGCACCACGGAAGTCTTCAGTTGGAAGAACACACTTGAGGAGTCTCCAAGTCAAATGATGAACGTGAAGAAGGAAGAACCAGGCCCCTCAGGATGGAACCTGTCCTTCGAGGACTTTAAGCAGGTGGTCACCCCTGTTCCCTCTAATGCTATGACAAGCTGATGGTGTTCTCATTTTCCCTCCAAATAGCATGGTCTACCCTAGTGTGAGCCCACCCAAAGGTCTGCTTCCAATGTGCTGTGAGCTAGAGATGATTTATGATGTGCGTCACAGAAAAGCACTTTACTGTGTGCTGACCACGCCCTTAGTGCTCTTGTAAAGAGATTCCCAAGAGAGGCTTTGAGGGCTGTTGCGTGAAGAAGAGAACCACACAATGTAATAGATATTTTAAGCTCTTCCCACATTAGCTTTCTGTCATCCGAAGACTGAATGCAGGGGGGAAGGCTAATCCTACAGCCTCCTCTGGCTTCCCCAAGGGCTCCTCTTCTTGGAGAGTCCTTCCTATTCATCAGAGGACTAAGAGGGCTCTCATGACAGGCTCTGGATAAGTACAGACCTCCCCAGATTAAAGCAATAGTGGTTTGGATTCTGTCAGCAGTTTTTCTGTAGTGCTCTCTTGGAAACTTTGTTGCTGCTTTTATAACTAATCTTTACTTCAGGGCCTTCTAGCTTGCCAGAATCCCTCTTCTCCAGCACAGGGACTAACTACCTGTGAAGTTTCAAAGGGGCTTACTGTGAATCTAACTGGGAAGTCTGGGATTGCTTCCCAGATTTTGGGTCGTGTGGCCACATCTGGGTGCGTAAGTGCCCAGTGCAACCTGGTTTCAGACTGGTGTCCAGGAAGAGAGCTGTGACATGCTCTGTTGAGCTCAGAGTCCAGATGACTGGGAATGAAGACTTGAGAAGTGCTCCATGGACCCTGTGTTTTCTCTCACATCAGGCTATAAAGTCAATCCCCAACAAGGAGCAGCAAGAAGCAGCACTGAGCCAGCTCAATAAGGCAGTACTGGAGCTGCGTGTTAAACAGAGGCCAACTCCGACAAATCTCTTGTATCAAATCGGGTGCGTTACCTTTGCAAGATAAGGCTTGTAAATGCATCGTGTGATCAACAGCCTTAGCCAGCTCTGTTGCAAGCGTTGTGATTCAGAATGCAGATAATTATAAGAGGTCTAGAAGTCTTCTTTACACTGTTTTTTTTAACAGATTAATTGTAGCAGCTGTCTAGGACCCAAATGTGTTGTTTTTTTTTTTCTGGAGATAAGTTTAGAATAGGATATTAATTCTGGGAAGTATACAAGATTATTTCTGGCAAGATTATTCTCGTCTACATGAAACCTTTGGGTAATTTTCTGTACTCTTTTACTCAGATAACTGTATCCTCCCTTGTACAGTCTCTGTTCTTTACTCAGACTTTTAGATTAAACATATCAACAACTTCTAGTTGCTTCTAAATAAGAAGCAGGTTCCTCCTGGTAAATGTAGGTAATGCAGGTTCCTCCTGGTAAACGCAGAGAGCAGGTCAATGCTGATTTGCCAACATGTGTCATGTTGAAGAGCAGGAGATCTAGTTTCATAGTAATATGAGTCCATGTGTGCCTATTGGTTTGCAAACCATTGAGACCTCAGAGGGCTCAAACATGAGGAAAGTAAGTTAGCATCCATTTGCACAGATTTTTTTTACCTGGGGGGTAATATTTTATTGGTTTAGTTGGTCAGGACAGCTCTCAGCTGTAGGATGCCACCACTCCTGGGCACAGGGTAAAACAGGATGGCAACTGCTGTACTTGTCTCCCTTCTGATTCTGGTACTTTTCTCAGGCTCCAGTTGTTGCGTGAAACAATTGATTGTATGGTGAGCTGCTCTATGAGGCTGAGATCCCAGTTGGGCTTGCCTGAGAATACCACCTATGTAGATGATGTTCCAGAGGAAACAGGTAAATACATGGTAGTTTTAGCACAGCAGCCAGTTTCTGTGGACTGTTGGAAATCCAGGAAACATGCTGAATTTCAACTGAAGTCGCAACTTTAGTTCCCCTCAAAGCTTTTATAACAAACTGCATAAGAAAAAATGGCAGGTCGTGCGATACTATTTGTGATCTGTGACTTGGCATCATTAAAAAAACACTGCACAAATAAGCCTGTTACTTTAGCTAGATGTAGCAATGGTTTTAACACCGAATAACCCAGAAATCCCTGTCTCACTATAAGCTCTTTTACAGGCTTGTTCTGATAAATGTCTGAGACCTGTTGATTCCTTATTTAAATGAAGTACTCTTCAAGGTATTGGCTTTCAGTGCAGTACAGCTTACATTAATAAAAAGAGGAAAATACTTTGCAGAAGTAATGCAATCCCACTGCATGAGTGCAGTGGGCTTGTCTTTCTGGGTATGAAAATGTTGCTTTTGGGTAATTTAAATTCTTTCTTTTGCAGTGCAAGAAACAAAGCCTATAAAAGGAGGAAAGGAAGGCAGAAAAAACAGTAGCAAAGAAGGGAGAAGGTCCATTGTTGGTAAGGATAAAGAAGGCAAAAAAAGAACAAAGACAGCTGGGAAAGAGCAAGAGGTATGTGTTGGGATGCCTGTTGAAACCTAAGTGCTGGGGACAGTGTGATCCTTTCAGAGATCCTGTATTGTGAGTTGGAGCTGATTTCCAATTCAGTGAAAGAGGTGCTGCTTGGGAGGTGCATCCTGCAATAACCTGAAAGGTGTTCTGACCTGCATCACATTTTTTTTCTGTCCCTGAATAGGAACGTCAAAGCAGCAGAAAGTTAAAAGAAGAGAGAAAGAGGAGATCTTCCACTTCATCACAGGAGGGGAAAGAGGGAGCAAAGCCTGTGGAAGAAGTAACTACAGAGAGAGCAGAACATCTCCGGGAGCAGGTGGACCCTATTTTGTTCAGGAAATACCAGGAAAACCTTTATGTTGAAGTGAGTGTGACCAGAACTTATATCTTTGGTTTTTTTTTTTTGTTCTTTGCTTGTAAACTAACACTGAAGCTTAGGTGAGCATTTTGTTAAACTCAGAAAACTGACAAGCGTATGTCCATAATGCTGTGGTAAGGTAAGTGTGAAGTACAAAGTAAGATGTCCTTTATTCCAGCCTGGAGTCTGTTAACATAAATCCAGCCATCACATAGCCACGTGCAGGATTTCTATCTGGGATGTCTTTAACATGCCTGTGGACTCTTGAGGGATCAGCAGAATTAATTGTATCTCAGATAACGTTAAACACACTTCATAGCCAGAAAAGTCATTACTTGAGTTAAGCTCTGTTAGCAGGCAGCCACTTTTATGTGGTTGTGTGCATGCCTGCACATTAATGTGCTCCTGCGTGAGAAGCCATCTCTCTGTCTGTCAGTCTTGTCACCAGGAATTCTTCATGTGTTTTCACTGCCACTGTCTTTCTGTTCATTTCTGCTGCAGGTTTATGGGCTGCTGGGTTCAATGGTGAGCAAAATGGCTGCTTTATTTGCAGACCTAAAGAAACAAGATGCTCTCAAGTAGTAGAGTAAAACTGTTTGTAACTAGAAATAAACTCATTTTTGAAAAATAAAGCAGCATATTTACACAGATCAAGTGGAGATTCTTCTTTCTGGAGTGATGCAGTGATTACAAATGCTAGGCTGCCTCTTTTCTGACATGCTGGGATGTGAGACTGTTGCTAGATCATCTGTTACTTCTACAGATGATCGCTTGCCAGGAAGAGACAAGGCAAGAAATATCACAGCCTCAGAAACTGTTAAGACTAGAAAAAACTGACATTTCTGCTAAGAAGAATTTAAAAGCGCCAGTCAACATGAGATATGTCTTATTCTTTGTTTCTTGATCTTGCTTGGCTAGCAGTTGAGTGAGCAGAGTGTGTCCCTTGTACTCATGAGCTAACTTAGAAAAATCCATCCCATTTCTGATCATGTTTTTGACTGTCCAGTCTCCTCTCAGGACTTGCTGACAGCAGGCTTCCTGAGGCGATCAGGATACCAGTGAAAATGCACTATCCCAAGGGGTGTGCCACCCTGCCTGGTTTTGCACATGAGTTTACTTCCTGTGCTTATCTTGCCATCTCTTTCCACCCAGCTCAAGATGCCCATGCCCCAATGTCTTACTTCCTTCCAAGACTAATTACTTGTGAATTAAAATTAGCCAAATTCATGCCATAAATATTGTGAGCATGGTTAGGCCTTGTGTTGGCGCCTGGGCTCAGCACCACTTTCTGTCTGGGTTTCCTTGTGCATCGTGGCTGGAATGCAGGGTACAGGTCTCTCTTGACCTGGCACCAAGGGAGTACCTGGTGTATGGCAGTCCAGTGCTGTCGGAGCAGCCGGACGGCATTCCCGGAGAGGCTTTGGCCCTGTAGGGAAATGACATCACTGTAGATTATTAGCTTAGGTTCATGATGCCTTTGAGGTTCTTAGGCAGCAGATGCATATCCGTGCTGAGCATTGCTGTTACAAATTCTGTACATGGCTGCACAGTTGCACCAGGCGTGTGCGCCTCAGGCACGTGTTCTTTTACATTGGCAGCCGTGCTGACACGCGTCTTGGAGCTGCATCTAGTGTAAGATAACTGTTCCTTCTGCTGAATTGTTTTCTTTTGCTTTCTCATTTTAACTCATCTGCTGTCTCTGGGGAGAGGATATATTCTTCCCCTTGGCTCTCAGCAGTACCATGGCAAAGCACAGCTTATTTTTCTAATTTTATTTTTTGCTGGCCAGGTGAGGCCCTTCATATTTGGAGATGCTTTCTCTTAGTGAGAAGCACTTTGGCATCTGTGGAAGCCAGGAGCCTCTTCTGGCTTAGTGGGCACAAACCCACAAGGGGAATGTCTCTGCTCAGCATTCCTGTAGTGAGAATTTCAGCAGCATTTTGAGAATTAAAAGGAAAAAAGCCTGAAGTTGGGGTGTGTCTCACAGGCTCTGACAATAGCTCCTGCCTCCCTGGAGATGATTATCAGCTTGTGAATATGCCCAACTCAAACAGCTCAAGCCATCTGTTTCTAGGCAAGAGGGAGTCTGTACATTATAGAGGCAACGTGACTGTCTCAAAGGCAGGAATACTTTTATTTGGTAGCTTTAGCTTAAAAGATGGCAAAGTCCATTCACAAGATCTATGCCTGCAGTCAAGGCTATAGAAACCAGGCTCTGTGCATACCTCTACTCACAAAAAAAAACTTGTTAATATGAAAACAGGTAGATGGCAGTTTCACATTAGTTATGTACCATGGAAGAATGTCCTATGCTGATCTCCCTTTCCCTACCAAGGGAGGAGCCTGGTTGCCCAGGGCAGGCGAGTGGCATAAGAACTTCTACAAAGAACTGACCTGAATGCTGTGAATAGTCAGTTTTTAATTTTTTTTTTTCATTAATCTTGCCAGTACCTCTTACAGCCTTGGACAAGAATGTGCTCAAGGGACAAAGTACAAGCAGCGCACAGGAAGGGATGCGTGGGGCCAGCGAGTGCAATGCTCTGCTGTCCGGCTGCTGCAGCTTTCTCCAAGTCAGCAGCTTCTTTTCCTTTTTTTTTTTTTTTCCTTTTTTTTCTCCTTTTGCATTGATTTGTGAAAGTTACAGGGCTGGAACTGCAGTGAAATTAGAGCTGGCTTCCTCCAAACGCCTTTAGAACACATATCCTCATTGACAGACCTGGTGTGAGGTGCAGGCTCTGGCATTAGAGCAGAGACCCTCAGCACTGGTCACCCCTGTACTCTGAGGACTCATGGGTGCTCTGGTGCCTGTAATGCCAAGTCCTAGCAGCCACGCAAGTAGAGTATTCCTTCTCCTCTCCCAAACGTGGGCATTATTTGTATTAGTGTTAATAATTTGTTCTGTGTTTGCTAAATAACTGAGGTGAGTGACCTTCCTGGCCTTGGGAGTTGCATATCAAACTCATCATGTGAGTCAGGGCCTGAAGACATCATAACCATATTGCAGAGGCTGGGAAGGGAGATTCTAGGAAAATGCTGCAAGCAGAAGCTGACTGCACTTCCAGAGGCTTCTCAATGGCAGAGGGGGTCACAGCATGTCAGAAATCAGCTCCAGAGCCATGCTGGTTCATAGCTTCTTACAGTGGGGTTGTGGGCCACCCAGCAAACCCCACATTTGTACAGCTCTGCTGCAGTTTGTAGGGTGTTGTCCTCATGGAGAGGTTCACTTTGCTTATAAAAAAAATCAGTGCCTGAACAGGGGCAGCTGCCTGCCTCAGCTGTCTGTCAGCTGAACTGGGAGCACTGGGAACAGAGGAAGAGGAAGCCTGGGATCTTAGAAAACCAAGAACACCTCCTACCACCCAAGCTGGGATATTCTCCATGTTGACCTGGAGGATGGTTTGGATGCTGGAAGTGTTCTTCTCACTGGCTCCAGCCAGGAGAGGGATTAGGTGCACATTCAGCTTGCAAGGCTGGAGCCTGTTGGAAAAGCCAGGCTGATGAGATCTGCAAAGCCTGTGGAGACACGTGGCCTCCCCACCGTCGTCTCCCTGCCACCCAAGGCAGAACCCGCAGGCCTTCTGCACCAGGGCCTAGGGCAAGATCAACCTCAGCTCTGTGCAAATTTGCATGGTGGGAGCATCAGCATTCAACCCCCCCTCCAGAATGTCTCAGCACACAGGACATGCTTTCCATTATGGAAAATGTCAGTGATATTAAAAAGATTATATATATCCATAATACTTGATGGCCTGTCAGTGACTAAAATGGAAGGCAGAGGCCGGGAGAGAGGGGGTGGCATTGAAATAATCGAGAGACATGACTTATTTTGTCATGTCATCTGATGCCTCCCTCTTTTCCCCCAGCCAGGCTCCAGGATCTGTTCAGAGCAGGGGAAGAATCCACGCCAAATTTAGATCTCAGCAAAGAAAGAAAATAATAAAAAAACCATGAACCCAAATTGCAACCGTGGCCTTGGGTACCAGGGAGGGGGAGGATGGGGAGGGTCGGCATCCCTCGGAGCTGCTTCCCAGCCTGGGGACGCTCATTTCTGTCTAAAAATAAGGGG